CCCTTATTAAAGTTTTACATAATGTGCTAACCATTCCAGGCAAGAATGCAGCAATAATTCCAATATCTTCTATGCTATCAACTAAGGATTGCAAAGTCTCAAGGGAAGTTAGTCTTAGTTGTAACAAATTTTCATTAGAAATAATTTCCAACAAAACATAAACACAACGACCAATAAGTGCTCTAACTTGAATACTCATTAATTCTTGTAAAATTAACTCACGACGGATTTCAATTTGGAAATGATCTCTATTATCAACATTTTCAAATGATTCAGTGTGTACTGGCAATAATGCCAACATACACTTAACACATGCAAGTTTAGATTCTTCAGAGATAGTAAACTCTGTTAAATATGATCTATTAACAGTTTTTGAATCAAGAGTTGATCCTCCAATAATATTGACGAATACAAGTAGAAGTTGTTTGAATTGATCGGGAACCATATATTTTTTCCAACTTGCTGTTAATAAAAAATGAAGACAATTCAGAAAACCTTCAATAAATCTATTACTTTGCCGTAGAATTGGATTATTATAGAGTTGAAGCAACGGAAAATATACATATTTGATTAAGTTGTAATCAAATATCCTGGATGGGTCCGGAATTGAGTAAAGAATATTGAGCAAATTGTCGATGGTTTGAAAAGTTTCATGAGATTTCGAAGCTGAAACCGATGTAGATTGGATGAGAGATACGCATAGAGGTTTTAACTGATGCAGCATTTCCCATATAAGTTAAATTGCTGTTTTTTTTTTTTTTGTTCAACAAAAAAAAATGCTTTCGAAGCTGGATATAAAGTTGAAGAGACTCCAGCCTGAAGGAATACTGCTTGACGTTGAGTGTCAAGACTATCATCCACCATTTCGAAGTTATTAATTTCGAGAGAAAAATCATAAGTTGATAAGAATTCTGATTTATAAATAAGTGAAGCAGCACGGGGGTGATAAATAGGCATTTATTGGATTTTTACAATATATAGTTAAATTATATGATCAAGGGATGACATATTTCCATGTTCCTCGCAACATTAAATATACGCAAATATGATTATATTAGTAGATTCTTTGGTAATTGTAAATTTAAATCTTATATACATTCTATTATTTTTACTCTTTTTTTACTTTTTTAGATTCTTTGAAAAACTAATATTTTTTTGGCTGAATTGATTTTATTTTAAAAACACCTTCATAATAAATTGTTTGTATACAAATTACCCTATTAGAAAAGTAATTTTAAGCTAAATCATTTCTTCAACTGTTATCTGTATCCAGTAAACATTTTTTATATGTTATTTTTAATAAAAGAATTTGTTTGATCAAATTACTAAAGAAAAATACTAACTAAATTTATATTATATTATATCTTTAATTTATTGTATGATTTCTGGTAGATATTATTACATTATTAGAATTTAAAGTTCTAACTCCTTAACTGATAGGGATTTGGACTAGAGTTAGAACTATTAGTAATTGTTAATATTGTAATATTAGATCATTAAAGTATTCAAATAATAAGATTCCAATTCATTTATGTTCTGTTGTATTAATTTTATCTGCTATTTTGACTTTTAATATTAATTATATTTTTTGATATATTTTATTTAATGAATTTTATTCTGAAAGTTTCTAAAGCCTTATTATATATAAAAAATACCTATTTTTTTTCATTTTGATTAATAGAAGCTATATAATGTAATTTATTTTCTATCCTAAAAATTTTTTCCAAAAGACTAATAAAATAGCATATAGAACTGGTATAATGAGTTTTAGTTATTAAAGCAAATATTTTATCAAATGTTACTAATGTATTTTTTTATAAATTATAATTTCCAATTATATTCTAATTTAATAAGCTTAAAATATTTCAGTTTATTGATAATAAAGATATAAAATTCTAAATGCTAAATTTGCAATTTCATTATTTTTCTAAATCTCATTAATATTAAGTTTATTTTTAATATAGATATATATTATTAAAGTTATTATAGTTTATATCAACTTAAGAATATAAACTGTAAATCTATAATCAACAACTGATTCTAATTTTTCTAAAAATTTAACATTTTTAACTTCTTACTTGAAGTTACTATTATTATAATTAAGACATTAAGATTTATCTAATTCTTTTAATTTTAACAAATTACATATTAAATTAACATATTCATCAAATATAAAATTTAAAAGACAAAATTATAAATAACTTTAATTAGAATAATTTAGATAATGAACTTGATTACAAATTTTATGTAAAGATCATGTTAAACTATATAAAAATACAAAGAGACAAAAAGTTACAAGTTTTAATTAATTCCTTATTATAATATTAAAATTCATAAATGATTTATAAAAAGTTAATTTATAATATAAGCAAAAGTTTATTTATTTATATAAAATATTTTTGATATAGTTAATTAATTATTATAAAACTAATTAATTTAATAAATAAAAGATAAATAAACTAAAAATAAAAATAATATGTAATAAAATAATAAAAAATAGAATATTAAATAAGTATTATATCAAATATTCTTAAATTTATTTAATCTATAAAATTAGGATTATTATTAATATTAAAAGATCAACAGAATTTTAGATTTTCTGTATTCTCAGTATTCATAATATTTTTAGAATTTTATATTAAAAAATATCATATTGCATGATTTATATGATTTCATTTTTTATTGATTAATTATTTCACTGTTAATATCAATTAAATCAATTTTTTTAATTCAAAAACATAAAATTTTTATATTTTATTAAATTAAAATTTTTTTATTTATAAATATTAAAAATAAATTAAAAATATTCTAATATTTTCTTTTTATTAAAATCTATTAAAGAAATACAATTAATAAATCTAAATTTAAAAATCTTAAATTTTAATTTTAATATTTATATTACTTTTTTAAAATAAAATTATTAAAAAATATTTTATTAAAATATTATAATATATAAAATAGATAAATTTATTATAAATAAAAAATTTTTGTAATTAATTATAAGAAATAATACTAATTTTTAAATATAAAATAAAAAATATAATAATATATTTAATTATAAGATATATTTTTAAATTAATTTGATTAATATTATAATATATTAAAGAGTCTTTATTTTTTACGCATCTATATAAAATATAAAATGTATTATATAAGAATGATAAATAAAATTTTTGTATAAGAAAATTCTAAATCTCTAGAATAACTATAAAATAAAATACATAAACTGTAATACGTTATAATTAGAATTCCAGATGAGTCGAGTTAACTCACGAGTCAGATAAGCTAAGTTAAGTTTAAATCAAGTTGAGTTTATATTTTTTTGACTTAATGATTTGCAAGTCAAATCAAATTCGAGTCGAGTTAAATATTTAACTCGACTCAATTTAAACTTGACTCAAACTCGACTTGACTCGAGTTGACTTAAAATAATATTATTAATAAATTAATATTTTAAAACTATAAAAATTATACATTATAATAATTAAAATACTTTATAATAGTTAAAATGTATTAATAGTTAATAATTGAAATTTATTTTATTAATTTAAATTATAAATTTTAAATTTTATTATAAATGCATAGAGTTAATTATTTATTTATCAATAAGATAATTAAACATTAAATCAATGATTTTTTTATTGATAAAATATATAAAAAAATAAAAATTATTATAAAATTAATTAAAAAATCTAATTTTTTATAATATCTGCTTCTTTTTCCATTACTTTAGCAATTTTTTCAGTTAAAGTAATTGCACTAGTATATTGAATGCTACCTTCACTTAAATTAAGTTTAGCTATACCATGTATAGCTTGTGTTAACCAACACCATATTGAATTTAATGTTATTTTAATAGCAACATCATATTCAGGATAAATAAAATACCCTTCTTTAATTACACCAATTTCATAAACAAATCCTATTGCAAATTCTGATCTATCCTTATTCTAATGTCCTACAGCTTCATAGTTTTCTGCATAAAATACTGCGCCTATTTTCTGTTCATTATTTAAATTTACTTTTTGCTTAAATGTTTCATATGATAATACTGACTATGGTATATGATCTTCAGCATTTTATATAACCATTCTCCAAAACTATCTCCATCTTCATCATATATTCTTTGTATCTCTAAACCAAGATTTTTATTTTTATATACATATGAATCAGTGGTTGATAGATCTAAAAAATTTGCATGAAAACCATGACCAATTAATTTTCCTGAATCAGCATGTGTTTTTTGTCCACAATTAATTTTAGGATGTGCATTGCAGGTAAGTTTCATTTTAAGCCCAAAATGATTCGCAACATTTTTTTTGCAACATTACGAATTACTCCTCCAACAATTTTATCATCACATTTTAAAAGAACAGATTGACTTTCATTAATAATAATAAAGTCCTTTTCTTTTTCAATACCTTCACAAGTAACAAATTTATGAAGATATTTTTCAGCTAAATCTAATTTATGATTTATGTTCAAATCATATATTGTTTTAATAACTCTATCAAAATCTTTAGGAAGAACTTTGATTCGATTTTGCCAACTTAAAAATGATGATCCCTATAGCTGAAAGTGATCTCTCTATTCAAATTTGACAGTGATTCTGGGGATCTAGAGATTTCAGAGCTAAGGTTCTAGGTGTCTATAATCTAGTGGCAATCCTCAGGCCAGTATTATCGGGATGGTTCTAGTTGGATCTTGAGTCCAATCACGACCTTATGGGTCTCAGATATGCTGATATTGGGTATTAAGACCTAATCACTTTGAAATCATATGACGCCCGGATTTTCCAAATACTGAAACTTAAAAATAAAATAAAATAAAATATGATTGCTTGTTATCATTTTCATAGAATACAGTTTAGCTAACCATACAGTGCTACAACAATAGGCTTACCTAAAAATGTTTAGGTTTCTCTTCGGTTCATTCATGAGTTTTGACAGAATAAAGATTTTAGGAAATCATTGGAGAAAGAGAAAAAGACCTTCTCATAATTACATTATCGATAAGGGCCAGCCATTCATCATAGCAATACGAAGCAAATCTTCAACCATTGAGTTGGTTCTAGTTTCGGGTATCCCTAAGTTTCTCGTGACATCATGCGATTTATAAATGAATGATCGGACGCTATTATTCGGAATTTCGCTAATATTATCAACATTAAAATCTGGTTCATTGAGTATCGTTTTACTGATTTTGGGACAAACATATTGTTGCGGAAATTCTGTGAAATCCTTATCAGGAATGGCGTGGCCTTCGGACGGGGCTGGTTGGAACCTCACTTTCAGTGCCTTTAAATCTTCTTTCGTGAAATCAGATGCTGAAGTATAGATGTTGATTGGAAGCATAGCTTTGTCTTCTTTTCACGAACTCTTAAGCGTGTTAGGTAATGTGGAAGTAGATGAGAAAAAGACTCTTGGTTGGAAAGTGTGTGATGTATGGCGAGAAAACCTTCCAACGAGACCGAACAACGTAGACATTTTATGAACAAACCAATCTATTTTCTCCGATTGTTATAGTCACGTGATAAAATTATTTATCACCCGTGTCACACCCTTCGCTTTTTCCATTTTCATATGTATCCTTGAAAATCATATTTGTCACACAATAACCATCACATCCTTAGATTTAGGGTTAGGCCAGGGTTTAGGGATTATGAATAATGCGTGCCAAAAATCACGTAATCGAAGAATTTTTTCGGGATGCTCTTTGGGGTAATTCATCTTCTCCAGTACCGACACAAATTTTCCATGATCATAGTAAAATCTGTGATTCTTTATATATACGCTTAGATGGCATAGATTTAATATATTTACCATCGATGCAAAATATAGATCTCGAGACATTTCTATAATTAGTATTGATTTTAAAAATTTTATAAATAAAAATAGATAGTAACTTTGTATTAGAGGTTATGATTATAAATGCAAAATCAGTGCCTTCTCATAAATCTTTCTCCAGTTTAATAACTTTGCAGTTTCATTAGGTGAAAACTTAGATCTTCAAGTTTGCGTTTCAATGATTCTTTTTCTCAAGGAAACATGAAAGATAATCCAGAAAAAAAGCAAGTTAGTCAACATTGTAAAATATATCAAATGTCTCACAAATAAATAAACGAATAAAAAATAATTTTTTGTATATTTTTTTTTACGCAATTTGTTCCTTTCATTGAAATTGGATAATTCTTTTTGTAAAGATATCACCTGGTCTTTCCAATCGTTCATATTTTTTTCCAACATCTCTTTCAGCTACTTCCCATTATCCTCCCCTTTTTCGAACTCCTTCTCATCTAATCTATTCTTAGCATTGTTTAATTCTTGTTTAATGTCTTCATTTTTTGAAATTTAAGAATTAATTATTAAAAAAATTTTTTTTTTATTGATTCTAGATCGTAATTTTACCTTACTTTAAAGTTGATACGCAATAGATTTATTAATATGATTTTCGTTCACCGTTTTTTTTTAATAACCTCTTTACAACGCTGTGGAATTGAATTTACAAGATTAGTTAAAGACTATTTGGCCAATCCTCAAACTAAAAACTCTCTAATTCCCTAAGATTTTTTGGACTACGTTCCTTTTAACGATTACCCAAAGGTTTTTAGGTCTGAAAGCCAATCCATAACCTCTGGGACAATTCTATCAAGGAATTTCTTAGCAATGATCGTCCTGTTGCTACCTCGTAACATACTGCGCATTTCCGGGAGTTGCTTTCTAATATTTATGTATAGAATTTTCCATCAAAAACACACCCTGTGCGAAAATTTTACTTCGGTTTTTTGGTATCAGACGAATCGGTCTTGCATTCTTATACCAATGCCTTATTGTATTGCAAAATATTTGGAAAGTTGTTTTATCACTAAATAATGTTTTATTCCAATTATCATCCTTATGTTTTATTGCCCACTCATCCCTCTTTTGTTTATGAATTGATGCAAGCATAAGTGTACAAAGAGGAAAAGCATTTTGAAATCTTTTGTTACTCTTTGTATTTTAACAATTTTAACGGCATTACGTATACTTCCAGAATGGTAAAATGGCTTGCCGCTGTGTTTGCTTCGATAGGTCATTTCGATACTTGATAAAATGTGGAAAAAGTGTCGGTTTGTAATATACCCTTTTATAGCTATTACGAAAGTCATTTTCAAAAAAAGGAAACCTTATTTTATATTATTTATTTTATTTTGAAATGGTATAGCAAAAAAAAAAAATGGTTTATGAACTTTATTTTATAATATTGTGTAATATACCAAATCTATTGATTAGTTAAAAGATTTAATTAATAGTATGTTTAATAATGAATAATCTGAACTCAGATCTAATGGTCATTTTACAATATCTTGAGATAATGAACTTCCAATTTTAAACCACATGAATGTAAAACGTTGAACTTTTTGATTTGTTGATTTTCAGCCATCGGTTATGTGAAAAAAGATCCATTAGTTATATTGTATTGATCAATTTACAATATATTCACTTTATAATTTTTAATTTAAAAAATCTACACAACAGTAATTTTTTTTTTTTTGAAAAAAGGTTAACACTCAATGTGGAAAAAATACAATATGATTGTGGTGATTATTCATAGGCTACCGTTCGAACGTTATAAATTAATATGCACTTAAATATTGAGCACAAACAAGTTTTCAAAGAATAGATTTCTATTGAGAAAGAATTAAAAATACATCATTGATTATTGCATTACTATTGACTTTATTAACCCTTTCATGAGCTTTTCAAAACAAATCAGTTGTACATCGGAACCTTGTTCTCATTAAGAATTTCTCATTCTAGACTACTTCATAATCAGATTTATTTAGTCGCGAACGACATCACCATATAAAACCATGTCTCGACCGCCAGATTTTGATTTAGAGTTACACGAGTTACACAATGCTCATCATTTGATATATACGCTAGAATATTTACACTGCATGAATATCGTTACTAAACAGGATAAATAAATCTTTTTTATGTTGCCTTTCATATATTTCTCATCGTACATCGATTAGTTTAAAATATATATGAGGTATAAGAAATAAAAAAAAAAATTATAAAAATGTTATGAAATCGTTCTTTCGAAAAAAAAAAAAAAAAAAAAAATCTAAATCTAAAAAGAATTATAATGATAAACAAAATCAATATTAAATTAAGACGACAGAGTAGAAGAAGAAAAGAATATCAAAAGAATCGTGATACATTGATGCGTATCACTTCTTTACCGTCGCAACCGCCTACGAATAATTCACTAATAGATGCGTTCTATGGTGGTTCCTTAAACATTTTTGAGCATCGTCAATGAATTTAAATCCCTTTCCCCTCACCTCACGTCATATCATCTAAGAAAGAAATGATAAAATCCTATGTAATGTAAGAAGCTCTCTTCAAATATATGGAAAGAGATATAAAAATGTAATAACTTGGATTTTTTTGTTCAATGTTATTTTTCTTCGCTTTTTTATTGATAGTTAACATCATCTCAAAAATATTTTTATAACGGAGTTTATATGACAATTAACTATACAATAATATATTTTAAGCTAATAAATAAAACCTTAAATCACACTTATTTTTTTGCTAACTGTAAGTTTTCAAAAAATCCCATCGCCTACTTTTAGTTTGATTTTAAATTTTGGTCATCAAATTTCAAGATTTTAGGAGCTAAAGATAAAAAACTTTTATATTGTCTTGTCATTGGTTTTTTTGAGGGCTAATTAATAAATATCCCAAAAAACTTTTTCTAGCGAGTAGTTAGTTCACTTTTCGCGATATCAATTTTAATCCTTGTTGTTTCTTTTTTTATTGTTGTAATATTATCGTTTGTACTTTTCAAAAAAAAAAAATTAAGGATAATAAAAAAAAAAAATAACCAAAAATAATCGTAGTTGCATTATCATTAAAAAGTTCAAAATATAATTCTTTATACTAACCAATTTTTAAATTTTAAATCTATATAACTAATTTGAAAAGTAATAATAAACTTACAAAAATTTTACTATTTTTTAAGGCTTTTTAGGATTATCTAGTCATCTTTCAAATTTGATATTATAAAAATCTTCATCCAAATTTATCTTTAATTCCTTATTATGAATAAATTCTATTCATTATGATATCGTTTATAATCTAATTTATATTTCTTGAAAAGTTTGTTATAAATGATAATTATATCTCCGTAAAAAGATTCTAGATTTAATATCAATTAGATAATCAACTTTTAACATTATTTTTTTCTAATTTTTTTTCATATAATTTATCTAATATCACACTTAAATTTACATTTATATCATTATGTTACATTTTAGCATCAATTATTAAAGCTTTATTCTATAAATAAATATAAATCTTTAAATCTAAAATATAATTAATTTTACTTAAATTTAATATTATTTTGATAAATATTATATTGTAAAATTAGATTAGATTTTCATTTTTATAAATTATCAAAATATTAGTAGTGTTTCAACAAAAAAAAAAAAAATTTATTAAAAATATATATTATCTTTAAATACTGTAAATATTTAAACTAATAAAAAAAATTTATTTATTTTTAAATATATTTATTTAGTAAATTATAATCTCTTAAATCTTGAAAATTGTAATAAATTTTACTTAAAGAAAATTAATTATTTTTGCTTATATGCAATAATCATTATATTTATATTGTAATCATCAAAACCTGAATTTTATAAATGTATGACATTTTATAAGTTTAATAGTTTCAATAAGAATTATATCTACTTTATGCATTTCTGCTACTTGATATTAAAAAGATTTGTTTTACAAATTAATTTTTATTTGTCTAAGAATCATTCTTTATGTTCTTTATTAATACTATTTGTAATCATAATTTCTTTCTTAGCTTTTCATTATTTTGCTTCATTATTTTTTTTATTATTTTTAATATTATTATCCTAAAATCCTTTTTCTTATTATTCTTTATCTTTACATTTCTCTTTATTATTTTTGTAATATTTAATATTATTTTTCTCTTCCTTTTCAGGTAATTCTCTTTTTTCTTAGTTTTTTTAATTATTTTTTCTTTTCCATTTATTATTTTCTTTTCACTTCAATTCTTATTATATTATTATTATTTCATTAATTATTTTTTTTCTTCTGTATGTATTCTTCTTTTTATTCTATTATATAATATTATATTTTTCATATTTTTCTTTCCTTTAGTTATTTTCTCCTTTTTTCCATAAGTATTATTTTTTTTTCATTTCTTTAAATCATTTTTTTATTTATTCTATTTTTCTTAAGATCAAGTCTCAAATCTTCCATTTGATTATTTTATTATCATCATTCAGTATATATTATATATTATTAGCATATTATATGTGATTATCATTATTAATTATAAATCATATATTGTTATTGTTATTAATTATTTATCGTATGATATTATTATCATCAATTATATATCATTTATTATTATTATTATTAATTGTATATAAATATTTTAAGTTATAAAGTATTAAATATATTATATCTTTTTCATTATTATTTCTAATATTTTATATTATTATAATTCTTTTTTTTTAGAGTATTATTATATTTTGTAAATAATCAAATATTAGAATCTTATAAATCAAATAATAAAATATACTATTTTAATATTAATTTTTTATTTATTATATAAAATTTAATATTTATATATAATTCCAGTTAGTTGTCTATTAATTGTCTAATTTTACTAAATAAATTTCTACTTCTATTTATAAAAA